TACAAGAATTCCAGGGGAAAAACTAAGTCCATGTACAAAATTATGCGATCTACATGCCCCTTACTCCTCTCTCTCCCTCTCCCTCTCCCTCTCCCTCTCCCTCTCCCTCGTCCTCGTCCTCTCCATGTCTTATTGTCATCCTCGCACTATGAGATTCTGCACTTGCTGGATGAAGAACTCTCGGAAATCTCGGTCTGACAGCTGCTGCATGTTCCACACGTACAACTTAGCTGCTTCTTCCTCCATTCCGCAGCAGCCGACTAGCCCCTCCCTCCTCAGCGTCTCCTCCCATCTCACCCCGTACGCCTGCCAGCAAGGGCCCGTGAGCAAGGAAAGGGCTGGGGGCTGAGGAGGAGGGAGGAGGAAGAAACAAGGATGGAGAGGAATGGACTGGCAGTACGAAGTGTGGAAGACAGCATTGAGAAGGAGGAAGGAGGGCGAGAGAAGTGGAAGTAGTAGGAGGAGCAGGAGCAGGAGGAGGAGGAGGAGGAGGAGGAGCAGGAGGAGGAGGAGGAGGAGGAGGAGCAGGAGCAGGAGCAGGAGCAGGAGCAGGAGCAGGCAGGGAGCAGGAGCAGGAGCAAGACAGCTCCCACTGACCATGCGGAGATTTCGCTGGAAGGAAGCGATCTCGGAGAGGAATGCGTGGCATTGAGCATCGTTGGCATTGGAAGCAGCGGGTGCAGCTAAAGCAGTAATCAGAATAGTTCTCCACTCCTCCTCCTCCACCACCACCTCCTCCACCACCACCACCACCACTTTCACCACCTCCACCACCACCTTGTCTCCAATTCATCGTCTACTCCTCAAACACTACTCAACTTCTATCACATATCACAAACACTACTCAACTTCTATCACATATCACAAACACTACTCAACTTCTATCACATATCACAAACACTACTCAACCTTCTCCTTTCCCTTGTCTCCTCTTTGTCTGACTGTACAAGGCCTAGTTCAACCTGATCCACTACATCCCCTCCTCCTCCCTCCCACGACTCCATCCCCCAACCCTGCTCGCCTCCTACCTGAAGAGAAAAGAGCGCGGGCAACGACAGGGAGGAAGAAATCGGAAAAGCCCGTTAGCTGCTCCTGCGCTGCCCCTTCCCCATTGGCTCCCCATCGCTGAACCATGCGGTAGAGGATGCCGATGCAGACCTGACGAGCAAATGAGGAGCTGGAGAAGGAGAGAGGGAGGGGAGGGAGAGGGAGAAGGAGAGGAGGAGGGGGGGTCTCGGAGAGGGAGAGGGAACGAGGAGGGGAGGAGGGGGGGAAGGAAGATGAGGAGAGAAAGAACAAGAGAGAAGCTGAGGAGGGTGTGGAGAGGGAAGCGAAGAGGAGGAGGAGAGCTGCTCACCTTGTTGGTAGAAGGCTCATCGATCCTCGTAAGACCATCGACGACACTTCGCACGACTGGCTCAACAAGTTGACCTGACGAGTGAAAAGAATGAGAAAAGGATGAAATCATAGAAAATGTAATGGTGGTGGTGGAGGAGGAGGAGGTTAGGATGATGATCATGGTTAAGATGATGATGATAATGATGATGATGATGATGATGATGGTGTTGATGGTGGTGGTGGTGGTGATGGTGTTGATGATGATGGTGATAGTGATGATGATGATGGTGGTGGTGGTTGTGATCATCATCATCATCATCATCATCATCATCATCATCATCATCATCATCATCATCATCATCATCATGGCCATGGTGAGGCGATGATAACAAGGAGAAGGGGGGGGAGTAGGAGGATAATCTTGAATTGAAAGGGCAAGGATTGAAGAAACGTTGAGAAAGGAGGTAACTGAGCTCAATCTCCTGCTCACCTGACCGTATCCGCAAGAAAATATCAATGAGATTTGACAGGCCAGCGGTCTGCACATGAGCAACGTGATCAGCAGAGCAACACAAAGGGCTGCAAGTTTACCTGCAGCAGCTGAAGCCAGATCTTGTAAAGATCGCGGAATTCACGTGCCTAGACGAGGAGCAGTCACAAGAGTTGGAGGAGCGGAGGCGGGAGGTGCTGACCTCCTGGCTGGGGTTGCTGACACACAGGTTGGGGAGAGACTGGAAGGAAGACAGGATCCGATCGCTCAGAGACTCGAGCACAACATCTATGTGCCCGTTGCAGTCTTCTTTGAACCTTGACATGACCTTGGTGGATGGATCAGTGACGGAAGATGGAAGCATACTGCAGCATACCTGGTTGATAAGTGTTGTCACTTCCGTCATCCCCTTGACTTCAATGTTCTTCAGCATGCTCCCGATGGAAGAGGGTAAGAAACTTAGCATCCCCGTGCCTGGAGGAGAACGTTAGGTACAGCCATGGAGGAGCACAACCACATTCGATGATGACGAGCACCATCGTGGTCGAGATTACGATGGTATCAACATGGTGGCTGGCGTTTGAGATGATAGACATGACTCTACAACAACGAAAGAGACAAGAATGATAGCTGTGCTGGATATGATGTTTGGTCGTGGTTGTGGTGGTTGTTGTGATGATGATGGGTACAATGTAGAAGTTGGAGAAGAAGACGAAGACAAAGATACTGAGGATGATCAAGACGATGATGACGTCAACGATGATGATGGCGATGATGATAATTTTGTTTTGCAGTATGATGCAGACAAGCTTTTGCAAGGCACGCTTCACAAATTGAAACATCATCATCCCCTTCAATCTCAATCGCTCACCAAGGCAATCGACCATCCTGTGCAAGAACAAGAGAGTGGAAGATTGTAACCTTCCCTGCACATTCTCGTCAACTCTTCTTCCTCCATTCTCATCACAAGTTGAGAAATTCTCACCATGTTGTACGGAACTCTCGCTATCACACCGACAGAAACTTCGAGGGCTTGACGGAAAAGTGCGTTCTCATTGCTGCACAACCGTGTACATCCTGTTCGCAAAGGTTGTCAGTGTCATGTTCAACAGCACTTGCTAAAAACAAAACTCTGATCAACTCACGATCGACAGCAGCAACACATTCGATTCACAACATTGCATGTAATCAGAAGAGGTTTGCCATACTTGCATCCACAAAAAAGTGGAATTCAACACATGTTTGCTCACAATCGACCTATCGTCCAACATGCAGGCTCAAATACACAGAAGATGAAAGTAAGTTGAGTGACACTAAGAAAGACAATCTCACATGACAATACCACAGATCGTATTTGCACAACAAGTCACTTGTTCACCTTTCGAAAGCCATCCCAAGCACTCCAGAGGAACCCCAACTCTCAACCAAACATCGTCCGAGGTGACAGAGTTTGCAACCATGACAGATTGTTCCGAAGTCCTCAGAAACTCCATCGCCACCTTTACCAAGATGCAAGTCATTCAGCAACGCGAGCAAGAAGCACAGCGATCAAACAAAAATCTTACTTCGCTCATTCTCTGAAGGATGGGAGTGACAATCTGATGAAGATACATCACAGCTTGTTCAAGAGGGAGCGAGTCAGATCCAAGGACATTGCCAGTCGCCTCAAACAAGTACAATCTGTCCATGTGATCCAACGCCACTGACTGTTGCTGGTCCAGCAACACTGGAACGACAGAGGACATGAGGGCATCTGCATGCGGCCCAAGACGAGGTTTCAGCGACTTGAGAACCCGTAGAAAGAGATAGCATGCTCTGCTCTTCACGCTGCTCCTGCTGTTCGTCACAGCTTGCACGAACCCCATCAGCACCTGCGGCAGCAGGTGCGAATGCTTGTGGAGGAACTGAGAGTAGCGATTTGCAATCTCCAAGTAGACCTTCTGAACGCAAGGATGGGGATGAAGCGCTATGTTCGAGGACAGGACTATGCTCAACAGCTTGCCCATCCCCTGGTCAGTCGACTTGCAAGCGTCCTCCACTCTTGAAACCTCCCCGAGCTCGTACAACATGGTCAGCACAGCCTCGATCTCTGGCCAGTTGTTTGGAGTTCCGTTGGTTGTTTCCGCTATCAGTCCATTCATGCAATCTTGTACGAAAGAAACCGTTAGATCTGGAGCGATCCTCGAGATGTTCTTGAAGATGATAAGAACCTCCTTACGGTACTCCAGCCAAAACTCTTCGCTCTCCCCGGGGTTCTGAAAATCAAAATCTGAAGAGTATCGCAGCTTCCGGAGGAGGACAGCGAGGACACCAGACAGCTGCTTGAGATGAAATTCTGGGAGGGGATCAAGCTTCTTGAGAGAGTTAACAAAGATCGTGACAAACTCCATGCTCGCAGACGACACGTCGTCATTCTCGTTCATGGCGCAGCCAAGAGCAAGAGGCATCAACTCTTGCAGCTGCGCTTGCGCTTGCAGTGCCTCTGCTGGAGACGCGGCCGAAATTTTGTCGGCACACACAAGAAGCTCTTTGCATATAGAGCCGGTAAGGTGTGCAAGGCGCACAAGCGCTGCTGAGCTCTTGCTTGCTCCTCTCGCTCGCACTGCAAGGGCGTTCTCGATGAGAGGTTTGTTGATCAAGGAGTTGATGTGGTGGATCTTCGGAACTGGCTCCATCTTCTTCAACACCATCTCGGTCAAGCACATGGCCGCCTCCTCTATGAAGACATCATTCTCCAACAGAGCGTAGAAGGCGGGAACAAACTTGTCGTTCATGATCAATCCAATGTCAATCCAGTGAATGTACCTAGAGATAGAGGACAAACAAGACTTGACAAGCCCTGGCTCACTCTGATAGAACTCCCGCAAGATAATGTACCATGCGGACGCCATCTCATTGAGACATTGTACCCTGAGTGCATCCTTCACTCTCATGCTGACTGCAGCGTCGGCGGGGGAACGGTGGAACTCGGAGTTGATGATCTCAGCATCGACAGCATCCTGCACTCGGAGAAACATGTCGATCACTGCTACCCCCGAGTTGAGAGCGGCAAGAAGACTCGTCAACGCCTCAGGCCATTGCTCCGGATAATCATTTCTGACCAAGATCGCATAAATCTGAGCGACTTTGTTGAGGAGGAAAGGGGGTTGCGGTGGGCCAGCGGGACACGTCTCGAGGATCCATGAGACGAGAAACTTCTTCACTTCGCCCCTGTCCTGATCAGACAAGGTTGCATACCGATGCTGGAGGACTTCTTCGAGAACCTTGAGTTGGATCACTTGACATAAGTGGAACAGAAACACCCGACACACCTGAAGGCACCAAAACTTGACTTGCTGGGCCGACGATCTCATCATGAGTCCACAAGCAAGATGCAAGGCCCCATCAGAGTTCTTAAGGCCGTCACAGTAATCTTGCGCCTGCTTTCGAAGAGCTGCGTCGGAACTTTGATCATAGATACAGAGAACAGCCTTCTCTGCATCTTCATACTGATTGGTCATCTCAAGAGAAACTCACAAACTTGGGTTAGTAAGGCTGAAGGATGCCTCCGGTGATTTCGGCCCCCGCTCTCTCCTTTCTCTGCGAAGCCTCTCAGTTCTCGCATATATTCCTCAACAACTCACGGGAACTCGGCGGGGGCGAAACTGTACAGAGATGTTCAGGCGCCAGCCTAGATCATGAAAGATTCGTGCGGCTCTTGTATCCTTGTGCAGCCATGAGCGTCCTATTCGTCTGCTGCCATCTTGAACAGAATTATCACTGATTATTTACCGCGAATGCATCGACAGAATTGAGGATGGGGGGATCTATGACTTCAATCAAGCCCAGAACAGGGCAAGCATTTAACATTATTTGATGTTCTCGTGACGATCTAGCTCAAGTGTACATCATAGATCCTCGTCACATACCGCAAAGTCCTCCATCCTCCGAGTAACACGGAGTAAGGGATAATCGGGATTTACACAAGGGAAACATCCCCTCCGAGAGCAAAGAAACAACATGAGGGAGAGAACAATTACGCAGATCAAGTTAGACAGGTGTTTCAAAAAATATTAACAATGCGCGATGTCATTGAGCAAATAGAGTTTCCACAACATTCCACCTGTTGGAACAACTCCAAGCTCTTTCTGTTATCCGAATTTCTACAATGCTGATCTTCTCCCTTTTCTGCTTCCATGTTTCCTGCTGATCTCTCCACCTTTCCTCATGTCCTCTGGCGGTTCTTCTCCTCCCCATACTCCTTGTATCCTAAAACTGATTCTCCTTCCAGCCATTGTGGAGATGCGGCTGGGGTAGTTGTGGTTTTCGATGGGGTGGGGGTACACGATTTGTGGGGTGACTGGACTTTGGGGGACCACAACAGGGGGTACAAGGGTATGGGGGGTGTCAACTTGGGGGGCTCCAAGAAATAGGGTGGGATGTTGAGGGGTGGAATACCTTGGTGGCAGGGGGTTGATGATGTAGGTAGGTCATAAAACAGAAATACTTTTTGGGGTAGGGTTCCTTGATGAAGTGGGGTACTCCTTGATAGGAGGTAGAGGTGGGTGCGATCCCTACCACGGAAAGGGTGGGGTCATTTCCAAATACTTTCAGGTTGCCATCAAAGGGGTAGGGTGGGGATGAGCGTGAGAATCAAAAAAAGAAAGAAAGAAAGAGAAAGAAAGAGAAAGAAAGAGAAAGAAAGAAAGAGAAAGAAAAAGAAAGAAAGAAAGAGAAAGAAAGAAAGAAAGAACGGGAGTCGGAAAGAAAGAAGAACCGTTGAACTGAACTTCGGAACTTGCCTCTGAAACTCGCTGACAGTGAGCTGACTCAGTGAGGCTCAGCCGGGCTTGAGCAAGCCGGGGCGGCCTGGACCGTCTGGGGCCCCACCGTCTCAGTGCCAGCTAGCACCGTGACTGCAAGTGGCGGGCGGCGAGGCCCCGGTTCGCGCGGCGTGACGGTGGCCCCGCGGCCGGCGGCCCGAGTTCGCGGCGGCCGCCCGGCCGCACAACACTGAGCGGCGGCGCCGGCGGCATAGGGCCAGCGCCCAGCACCCGGTTCAACGATTCAACCCGCCCCCGCTCCGACCGGGTTTACCGTGCTACACTGCCACCGGCGACACTGAATCATGCGGCCGCTACGCAGTGCGGCCGCGCAGTGCGGCGGCCGCCCCGGCAATCCGATCACCGGCGGCCCCGGCGCCGCCCGGCCGGCCGGGCCGGGCCCGGCCGCATCGCAGTGTTGGTTTTATAGTCCGTTACAGCACAACGGAAAAATGTAAGGATGGCAGGGAGGGAACAAGATGGAGGGAGCATGTACTGGGACTTGAAAGGAGGAGAAGGATATAAGAATGATGAGCAGAATAAGATGATTTGGAGGTGGGAGATGTTGAGGCAAGGAGAAGAGAGAACAGCAGAGGATGAAGGTGAAGAGGTAGAGAGGAAGGATTGGGTCACGAGGATTGACATTGTGTGCCGAAAAGCAAAAGTATGTGGCAAGGAGAACACAAAAGTGGCAGTAGACGAGCATAAATAGAAATTAGGACGTGAATGAAGGAGACATTGCAGTGTGGATATAGTTCGATGATTTTACGTTGGAGAGAGCAAGGAAGTGAGAAAGATAGAGATCGAACTTGAGTGGAGGATTAGCTGAGAGAATTTGATATTTGTTGTCAAAGCAATCAATGACTCTGGTATCAGCAGATAACGACTGCACCAAAACAACAAGTGGCTCCGAACATCAACCCCTGAAAAAATGTCCGACAAGATTGCAGATCATTATTCAATTTTGGGTCTTACTTTCGGCGCAAGTCCGGAAGAAGTTAAGAGCGCTCACAAGAAGCTTGCTTTGAAATACCATCCAGATAAGAACAAAGGAGATGAGAATACGGCAAAGCTTTTCATGCAGATCCAAGAGGCCTATCAAGCTCTGTCTGATGAGAAAGTAAGAGAGGCTTACGATGCGATGGTTCGCGCGAAGAAGCAGCGAGAAGCGAAAATCAATGAGATGGACAAGAAGCGGAAAGCCGACGTGAATGCTCTCCTTGAAAGGGAACGTCTGGCAAAAGAACGTAGGACGGATGATGTTGCAACGGCAGAGAGCAAGTACATGAAGGAGCTAACCAGAATGCGGGAGAAGAACAAGAAGATTATCGAGGAGGCTGAGGCAAAGAGGAGGGCAGAGAATGAGCGCAAGGTAGAAGCCATCCATGAAGCCTTCCAATCGAAGGCAGACAAGGAACAATCGAAGAAGGACCAGCTCGAAGAATCCCAGAGGACTCTCAAAGTGAAATGGGTCAAGAAGTATGGCATAACGACAGAGTTATTGTCCAAGATCTTTGGTGTGTACGGAGAGGTAGACAAAGCTGTGGCAGGCAAGAAGTCAGGGCTGGTGGTCTTCAAGGAAAACGCGGCTGCAGCCAACGCGTCGCATGCTCTGAAAGCAGGAAGCGTCGAAGAGGCTAAGGATTTTGGGATCTCGGTGGAGTGGTTGAACGAGGGGGAGGCAACTGCAGGAGACACGGGAAGAGACGACCCCAGCAGCGTCCCAGCAGAATCCTCAAATCAACCCCCCGCCACCCACATGAACGGCAACAACGCGGAAGGCATCGGGAGTCAGATGCCAAGTTTCTCGAGTTTCGATCCGAATGCCGGGGCTGCGGACAGCAACCTCCTAACGCACAGAGACTACGAGTCCTTGACCTTGATGAGAATGCGTCAAGCGGCAGAACGGCAGCGGTTGGCGGCACAACTGGCCGCTGAAGACGGAGAGTAGCCTTATATTCGAATGAAGGGTCTCGATTTCATCTTTGCAAGATTTGTTTATTGGCCGTGGTCGATTTCCATTCAATGCTCACGTGCTCTGGCTCAACGGGTGATATCGAATCTCTTCCATTTCAATGTCTTATTTGCAATATTCGTGCTAATATCTTCACACCGTTCCACCTGTTCCACTAGACAGGCTCTATTGCAGTCCTTTCAATGATTTCTTTCGTCTTATCCCTGTCGTGCCCAATTTTTCTCTGACTTGAGTGGGGTCTTGACTTATTATTTTCCTCCTCTTCTACTACCAGCCATGACTTGATTAATCTCTTCCGTACACAAACAAGGCTGGCTAACGCTGTCAGTGGAGAGCAGAGGTCAAACGATTTAATATGTCGAGAGCGGGAGAACAGGTAAAACAAGTACAAGAATATGGCAGGGAGCGTGATCTAAGAATGTGAGTGGAACACGGTTTTCCATAAAATGATGCGAGCAAGTTCGACAACAAAGATCAAAGAAGCCTCTGGTATCCGAAGATTGTGCTGGTGTTCAACATGGCAACTGAATGGCAGCATGGTAACAAGGCAAGGAACGGCATTATCATGAGCGTGTGAAAAACGAAGCAGGAAAGCGCGCAAAAGCCAAGGTACCCGGGATACACTGCTGTGGAACATTGAGAGCAAAATAGCATCGTTGCATGCTGTGGCTACAGGTGGGCTGCTGGCATGAAATCTTTCGAAGCTCTTCTAGCATCAGGAGCCACCTTTCCTCTGCTGCAGGAACATAGGCAGGAGAACAGCAGGAGAACAGCAGGAGAACAGCAGGAGAACAGCTTCAAGGAGTGTTATTATTAAAGGATGTTAGTAGGACAAGACTGCTAGCTAGCCTCCCTGTCCTGCTTGTTTGACTACCTTCACCCGGTACCCCCCCATTTGTTCTTCCGACCCCTGCCGACACACAAGAAATCGTGAATATCCTTCACACACCCCCTCTTATCCCCCTTGCTTTCTGCTCAAGACCACCCCTCCGAGACCACCCCTTGCCTTGTGTACCCCACTGATTTCGCACCCGCATCCCCCGATGAAATGGAGGCTGGCTGGCCCTACTCCGATATCCACGAAAAGAGGTGTTTTCAAACGACCCTTTCCATCTCCTGGTAGTAAGTAAGTACGAGATACCGGCCGATTGTAGGCCCGGGGTCGCATAGCCGGCCAAGGCTGCTGACTGCACCTAGCGATGGTGGAAGGGAGCGAGACGAAAGTGAGGAGTGAGAGGAGTGAGAGGAGCGAAGCGTGAGAGGAAGAGTACAAGTTCAGTGAAAACAAGACATACAACATGATCTGCGAGAACGCGGTAATGGACACTAAGCATCTTGAGACTGTGCCAGCAAATCAGGGGTCACCGTCGGTTGGAAGGATGAAGATTTCTGCAAACGGTGGGACCATACTCCACGTAGACGAGGTAATCACCCAAACCTGATGCTTTTGTATGTGTATCAGCTTTGCTCCTATGCATCGTCGTTTCTAGCATGAAAGTTGCCTCTGAATGTCACACCATAAACTCAAAATCACTCAATTTGATTTTTAACAGTGCTCTGATGCAGAGCAACTAGTGACAAACTTTGCTTTTGTTCAGGCATTCTGTCGGTTGGTTGGCCGCCAACGAGATACAATTGTTGATCATAGCCTGAAGACACTCGACTTTTTCATGTCCATCCAAGATGGCGACGAACGCGTTTCTGAGAAGCTCAATTTGTTTCTGTCTGAAATGGAGTCAAATCCAAGGTGTATGACATTCGGTGAGACAAGCTGATAGATCAGACGAGACATGGATTCTGATCATCGGTACTTCTTGCAGGCGTGAAAGTTCTGAGTCAGAATGCGGAGGATGATCTGTGTATGCAGATTTCAATGGTGATATATTTCTTGCCATTGTTCACTTTCCCCCCAACTTATCAGACATCAGCAGTCGGAAACAGGTCAAAACATATGTAATGTTCTTCATTGTCTGCTATTGAGACCTGGTATAAGCTGTTTTTGTATCGTTTCTTCTTTGATTGACATGATCAACATAGAACGAAAGCACTTCGACAAGCTTTGGTTTACAGATACAGCTGCACAAGTGCTGGTTTCCAACCACAAGATTTTGAAGGTGAACGAAAAGTGGAAGCAAAGTTTTCTGTTCGAAGAGAAAGAAGCTCTCAATCGCAGCTTGAAAATCATGGAGGGGCCTCTCTCACAGAAGTCCAACATCCTTGAATTGCAAGAGGCATCCCTGGCTGGGATGAAGTTGCAGAGGACTGTGACGCTCTACTGCCGAGATGGCTCTCCTCAAGTGACGGTTGTTGAGGTCAAACCTGTACTGAGTGACAAGAGGTTCGAAGGAAATGCGCTAAGCATTTGGCAAATGAAAACAAGCTGCGCTGTAATGGAGAAAGATTTCTGTTTCTCGCAGGATGTCGCGCAGGTCATTACAGAGGTTCAAAGTCCGTTTCGTATCGTCAAAGCAAACAAAATGTGGTGTGAGAGATGTGAATTTACAGGAGATGAGATCATCGGCAAGACGTTGGAGATCATTCAAGGACCGTCAACCAGCAGGGATACCTTGTCTGCTCTCTCAGCTTCTATTTCCCAAGGGGTTGGTTTCAAAACCACCCTCGTAAACTACACCAAGTCCAAGGTGCCGATTCTCAACCAACTTGATATCTTCCCACTGCTGTGTGATAAGAGCGGGTTTCCGTCTCACTTTGTCGGGAATATGGAGATATCTTGCCACCCTGATTTCCAGGAGATAGAGAAGTCTCCATACCCGTGTTCTATTGTTCTAGCAGACTATCCTCATAAGGTGGTAGTCAGCAATTCTTTGTGGCAACAATGCAATGTCCTGCAAAGTGTCAAGCAAGTTCATTTGAGGGAATCGAAATCAGAAGACGGAAAGGAAGAACACAGTTCAGTTGAGACAGTATTTGTGACAGAAGATTTAAAGCGATTTGTCACTCGAGCTCGCATCCTCAACCTGAACAAGTATGGCAGCAACCTCGTCACCCACTACGTCCTGGTATTCGAACATTGGGGTGATGACAAGCAGAACATTACTTCTCCCTGTGTCGCATCTCGTGAGGATCAGGTTACCATCCAGGAAGATGGGTCCGTGCGACTTATCATTGGTAGAGAGGTCGTCGAGCACTCCAACATTGAAGCTTCCTTGCTAGATGAGTTGCTGTCTTGCAATCTGCTCGTAAGCTGGAATCTCATTGGAGATCATCTACATGTCGTTGTCCCTCCAAACATTTTGAAGGATACGGTATCAAGCGACTGGTGCCATGAACTGGCTCGTGACTTGGGCAAGTGGTATTCATGGTGGATCAGGGTCTTGTGGCTGCATAGCATGTACAACAACGGAGAGATGGAAATCTCAGATTCCAACACGGCTAATGACTTTGACGTGCTCACAAACCAAGTCATGCGTGACTCAACTCAATTATCTCATGTTGATCTGGAATCAAAACGATTCTGTCATAGCACTGCTTGGGGAACCTTTTGGAAGGACTCGTACTTCTTCAAGCATCAAGTCAAAATCCAGATGTCTTCACCAGTGTTGGAGGGACATGAAGAGATTCTTGAGAGCATGCAACGCCAAGGATATGTGTCTTCATGGGAACAAGAGGACGAAGCTCTTGACATATGTGTGAATGCCGCGCAAGTGCTGCAGGATTGTCAAGGAGTGCCATGGGTCTCTCAATGGAAAGTCGGCCTCGATAGGTGGGAAGGATGGTGGATTCATTTCTTGTGGCTGCATTACCGGCATGAAGACGTGAAGGAGTTGACTGCCATGTGCTTGCATCTCCTTGATGACCTGCAGCTCATGAAGGTGATTGAAAGCAAGAACGAGCCCATGTGTCTTGAGCAAGAAGCTGACGTACACGGGACCACCACTGACATCCAGATCTCCCCGGTTGGCCATGGCACGCTGCGCTTTCTTCATGAGGAGATTCTCAAGCAGATCAATGCCATGGGATACTCCATTGAGTGGGAGTTCTCTGATGACGAATCAGAGCTCTTCATACGAGCGTCAACGGGGATCTTCCATCAAGCTGATTGCGCGTGGACAGCAACCTGGGCCAACGATCAAGCATCTGGAGATTGCTGGCTAGATCGCATCAAGTTCCTTGTTGGCTCTCAGAATCATCGGACGAGAAAATATGCTGTCTTGGACGAGTGTTCTGCCATCAGTGATACAGCGACAGACGCAAGAACGTTCATCATTCCCCGAGGAATACTGTTGCAAGAGAAGCGAGACCTTGGCCTCTCTCGGCTTTTTGAAAGAGGGCTCATTCTCGACTGGAGCTGGGAAACTGAAGAAACCATTCGTATTGTGGTTGGAAAGGACTTCTGGCAGAATCATTGCGACGCGTCTTTGTGGTGCAACAAGTGGATAAGTAAGTCGTACCCAAAGTATTCATGGGTGCCAGTATGGTTGTGTTTGCTGTGGATGATGAATGTGGATGAGGAGTTTGCCTCGGAGACGTCCTCATGGGAGAGAGAGACTGACCTAGAAGCCTGCCTGTGCTCCCTCATCCTTGATGGGCTGTATGTGTTCGATGAATGATTGAATAAATGCTGAAAGACTCTTGCTCAGTTATAGTTCTGAGCCGTACACTACTGCGGCCGCACTATCGGATCGCGGGGCCCGGCTGCCACGGCTCAGGGGGAGTAGGCTAGCCTCACGGTACTCGGAACCGGGGGGCCCGGACCGACCCGACCAATTGGCCCAGCAGGCGTACTGCCGGCGCGGCCCGGCAACTGGCCCGGCGGCTCGGAGGCGCGGCGCGCCGGGGACCGTCCGATCCGGCGAGCCGAGTCCGCGCCGCCCGTAGCGGCGGCATCAGGTTCGTGACGCCGCGTCGGAGATCAGAGTCACGGTCAGCCCGGGCGCCCCGCCCCGGTCACTGCGGCACCGTAGTACTTTTAGGTTTGGTTCTCGCTGTCTTTTCTCTTCTCGCCGCCGTTTGGCCTGTGCGACAGTGTCAGGGTCAAGCCTCCTCGACTCTCCTGATTGTCCTCGTACTGATCTTTAACTTAACTTTGAGTAAAAAAACTACGGTGACAGTCACCGCCGCCGCAAAGTTCCGACTCCGGGTTCCGAAGTTCGGAGTTCGCGGCCGGGCCGGGCCCTTGCCACGGTTCAAGCGGGCCCGTTCCGAGTTCCGAAGTTTGCCTGGTAGACCCCACATGTTCCCTACTAGAGGTGACATGTAGAGAGGGTGGGTGGTATAGAGCTGTGTCCGCAACAACAAGGACTACCACCCCCTCTATACCCCCTTACCTGGGAACACAGTTGTGTTTACTGGTAAAGTGAGTACCCCTACGTCTGACTGCTAATGTTGGGGTAATATTTGGATTTCAGATCTTGCTTTGATTCCTGTCATTCTGAAGGTGGGTAGTGCAAAGAAGGGGTAGGGTCTACGGCATGACTCCAGGGTGGGGTAGAGTATTAGGAATTCAGCTACGAAAAATGTGGGTGGGGTAGTAGGATGTGATATGTGAATGGGTAGGGTATCGTTATCTAATGCTTCTACTTGGGGGTGGGTGGGGCTTGTACTGTATGAGAGAGAGTAGTCAGGTTTTGGGCCTTCAGGCAGGGGATCCACAATGAAGGGGTGGTGATATGACCCCCACCCTATCCATGTCATCAAAAATGGTAATTCAAAGTACCCTTTTTTACTACCCCCTGAGCTAGGTACCCGTACAACAACAAACCACCCTCACACTGCAACCCATGTTCCTCGGTACCCACCTATGCGCTTTACACACCAGTTGCAGCCTCCCTTTTGTAACCCCCATTTTTCCAATGAAGTACCCACCCGTTTATATACCCTGCTTCGAAAATACTGTCGCAATGCAACCCCCCACCCTAATTTTACACCCCACCCCCGCCGTTTAGTGCAACCCGAAATCCCTTGTACCCCTTGACTCCTAAACTGCTTCCACCCTTTCCGTTTCTGCCCTACCCCCCTCGTACCTACACCTACCCCTTGTGTCACATGATGTACCCCATTTGTTCCCTCCTTGAGTTGGTACAAGTAGGTAGGGCTCATTTTGCTACCGGTCTGAAACGGACCCTACCTACAAACTCCTTTTCGGAACCCATTAATTCTGATCACCCCCTATAAAGTATCGAGCAGGTAATCATCCATGAAAGGTGGGTACATATCTCTTTGAGTGGGTCCTTCATACTTCCCTGGTGGCCATATTTTATTTTTTGAAGTGATATATATGGGAAAAGGAGGGGTAAATTTTAATTGCAAGGGGTACAAAAGTATGGGGGTGGGTCACATAGGGATAGAGTAGGGTTATATTTTGAGGTCGATCAAGCCGAGGGGTCCAAAGGCTTACCGGTACACCCCCACCCCATGTTTGAAACACCTATCCTAATAGTTAGTACCCCCAGTTACATGTCTATTTCCCCTACCCTACCCAATTACAGACTACCCCTTCCTGACATCTATCACCCCCTTTGGTGGTATCACCCCACCCCAAATGGAACTAAACCCCCCTACCCCTACCCCCAACTAAAGTGTTTCGCCGCCCCCAGATCAGGACAAACCCCATGGCCGAAATGCCGAACAAGAGCCAACCGGTGAGGCAAGGAGAGGAGGGAGGAGGAGGGAGGGGAGGATTGAGAGGCCAGATACATCAGAGAGATGCGAAGAGTGAAGTTAGGAAGACAGGAGAGATCGAGATATGAAGAAGGAGCATCAGAGAAAATGGAGCGAATTTCATGCTGGTTACCAATGAAGGCAGTTATAATCTGCTTGAGGTAGAAGACAGTAGATGCAGCGCTCGCTTTGAAAACTATCGCGAAATGGAAATTCAATTCGTATGTTAAGGTGCAAAGCATTACTTGTTCACACTTAAAACTGCAAGATTGGCCAGTGAAAGAGATTGTCTGTATGTTGGTTTGTACCCCAGGATCAGATGCATTTCGTCTATAAAGCTGTTCAATTGATTCGTGGTGCCAAGTTCGAGCACGCCATATTCTTGTTAGCACATCGTGTAGCTAGAGCACTTGCATGCATGAGAGAAAAAGATGCGTTGATGTTGACTTGTTTTACAAGGTCTTCGGTGGCTTGTACCAGCAAACAAAGAAGGTACCGATTGGCTCAGGATCTTTTGCAATGGTACTCGCTCTCAAATGCTTCATGGAAGCAAGGCATGACGTTGGTACTTGATAGGTTTATGAGGGAATGAACATATCTTCAAGAGAGATTGTAGCTATCAAGAAAGTTAGCTGGGAGAAACTGGAGAAACAGCCAAGATACATTGAACGACACAAAAACCAGCTGCGAAACGAGTTGGCAGCAATGCAAACGTTGAATCATCCCAACATTGTGCGTCTACTCCACCACCAGAACACACCCAAGTACTTTGTCATGGTCTTGGAGTTTTGCGCCGGCGGCGATCTAGCTTCTGCCTTGCGGAAACGAAAGCTTCAAGTGAGTGGGATGGATTTAGTTTGGCATGTGCCAAGTTGACGGATTTGCAGACAAAGAATGAGACGATCGATGAGAATCTTGCTTGCAGACTCACCAAACAACTAGCCGATGGTCTCAAGGAGATGCGAGTGTTGAACTGGGTGCACAGAGATCTGAAGCCGGGGAATCTGCTCTTGTCATGTGAAAGACTGGAAGACGCAACATTGAAGATTGGAGATTTCGGGTTCGCGACTAGGTTGAAATCGGAGAGCTTGGCTCAGACATGGGTTGGATCGCCTTTGTACATGGCACCTGAGATCCTCACGAAAGAGAGTGGAGGTTACGATGCAAAGGCTGGTGCGCCTCCATCAACTCTTGACTTTCCGATCTCAATGCTGTCACAGATTTGTGGAGCGTTGGGTGCATCCTGTTTGAGATGGTAAAGGGTAGGCAGGTAGTCGACGCTTTGTTTCTGCTGATGAGAAGATTGTAAGCTTCTTCCCCAGCCTTATGGGTCAAGCGCACGCGACCCCGAAGAGCTGAAGCAAGACATTAGAAGTGACAACAAGTATCAGCCGGTGACTGCCGTGATCGTCAAGATGTTTCGCTGATGATGGTCGAGCACAGGAACCGCCAATCTTGCTGAGTGATGAGCTTGAATCTCTGTTAGATGCTCTTCTGTAAGTACAGTTTGAATCTTGTTGTCTGTCGGAGCCAATGACTTTCGGATTTTAGACAAAGAGTTCCCGCACAGCGAATGTCCTACGACGAGTTCTTTGAACACATTTGGTTCGACATGCTGGAAAGCAATTCGCTGCCAAACAGCGTCTCAACCAAGATGTTGGGGTTGATGGAGAGCACCACCCAAGAGCAGACAGGAGAGACGGCTGAGAATCATTTCACTGCCAGCAAGTTGAGGGCATCTGCCAACTCTGACAAGGTCTTGTTACTTGTTGTCCCCATCAGCATCGTGATTTCCCTCTCAACACAGGCCATTTCTCACCTGATTTCCGAAATTATGTCACCCACAGCCAACCAAGTCGACACGAAAGTGAAGTCGAAGGTAGAAAAGCGAGATTCTGACATCAGAAAACAATCTTCACCTGCAACAAGTCAGCACTCCAATCCTGAGGGTTCATCGCGATCCAGCCATGATGCTGAAGAAACCGTTCCGCGACCTGAAGACGAGCCTTCGAAATCGAGGCCAAGACCGACAGCAGAGAATCCCAGTGAAAGAGTTTCGGAGAGAGTCCGGAGCAAAGATGGAGGACACCCCACAAGGAAGGAGAGCACGCTGCAGAGGATATCGGAATACACTCATTTCCACGCTGACGGCAGGCCCATCGACGAAGAGTTCGAGCTGGTAGACAGCATCTATCCCGGCGAGCCCGTGTGGATCGAAGTGAACAAAGGTTGTGACCCCCGGCAGACCCCGATGGACCAGCAGCGGAGCAAAGGATTCATCCTTGAGCAGAGCGGACTTCCACAGGAGGTTGTTCACGAGGGAAAGAACCTTGAGCTGCTGATACGAGATGTGATCCAATGCACGCGCGAGATCGTGGAGATCGCAAACGATCGGTTGAGGAGGCAGAGGCCGCTGGCTTCTCAGGCGCTCGTCCTCTACTTGTGGTCCATGAAGATCGTGCACAGAGCGCTGCTCCAGATGCAGCACATCCAGCGTGCATGCGGAGGCCTGCTTCCTTGCTGCCTCATGAAGGACTGGCAGGATTCGATCCTTGGGCATCTCGCTGACGACTATGAGAAGGCAAAGATCGCCATGCGCCTTTGCATCGAGTCCTCCAAGTCGTCCGAGTGTAGTTGGGTGACAACAGGAGGGAACCTCAACGATCACGCCATGGCGTCTCCCGCTGCTCCTCGACCTGATCGCATCGCCTACGACACGGCGATCAGGAGCGCGAGGGATGCGGCGACGAGAGAGCTGCTGTATGGGTCGGAGGAGTCAGTCAAAGACACCAAGGTGCTCTACCAGCGGGCAATCCTCCTCCTCTGCTCGCTCATGCTCGATGGGAGGGGCTCAGCACGCGACATGGAGATTCTCTCCATGTACTCGGGGATGCTAGTGGAGCGTATCGAGCTGCTGGCTGCCAAGGGGGAGGGACGGGGAGCAGACGGCATGGCGGAGCTGGTGAGGAGGTGCAGTACTGTTGGGCGACTGTGGAGCGACAACATGCTTAGGGGGGCTCCATCGTACACGACCAGGAGCTTCATGGGGAGGGCAGGGCCTGTACCTTGAGGGGAGACATGGGCGTTTCATTTACAGGCGTTATGGACTTGTTAGTTTCCCACAGCTTTTGTGTTTTGAATCGACTGCCAGTCCTCGAACTCCTGCCATGACCAGACTTGAGCGGCTTGATTGGGAGGCGAGGAGGATAGAGGAGGCAGGGGAGGCGAGGGATGAAGTGGAGGCAGATTGAGGTGGAAGGGAGGGGGAGCAAGCAGCAGATTCGCACCTTGAGCACCAGCCTAACAATGCTGAGATTGAGCGGTTTCGTAGTGTAGCGGTTCATTCCTGTGTGCCATGCTAGTCAGGAGCAACGATGACGAGGGGAGGGAGGGGAAGGGGAGAGAGACGAGAGGGAGGGAGGGAGGGAGGGAGGGAGGGAGTGGAAGGGGAGGGAGGGAGAGGAAGGGAGGGAGGGAGGGAGGGAGAGAGGGAGGGAGGGAGGGAGGGAGGGAATCGAGTCAAGTGCTCACCCGCATTGAGACAGTCCGTCTCATCAGTTGTCGCAGCATGAGCCGTCATGGCGATTATGTAGTAGGGACGCTCGTTGGGGGCCGCCTGACCAGCATGTCAACAGAGCAAGAGAGCCTGTGAGCGAAGAGGGACGAGATGACAGGGGAGATGGAGGAAAGAAGAGGGAGGAGACAGCAGGGAGGATCGAGGAAGGGGAGGGGGAAGGGAGGAAGAAGCAACACGAGGAAGAGGAGGCAGGAGGGAGCGATAGGAGGGATATCCTGAGATCACCTTGGCCTCCCACTCGCGGATCTTCATGGTGGCTTCAATGCCGTCCATCAGGGGCATGCGAATGTCCATAATGATGAGGTCGAAGTAATGACGCCGATTGGTTGCCAGATTGACTCCTTCGACGCCTGCCATGCTTGTCAGAGCCAAGACCAAGCAGACGGGAGAAGAGCAGAGCGGGAGCAGAGTCAAGGGGAGGAGAGGGGAAGCAGAGGAGTGGCGAGGGGAAGGGGAGGAGAGGGAGTGGAGGGGGAGGAGAGGGGAGGGGAGGGGAGGAGAGGGAGGGGGAGGAGAGGGAGGGGAGGGGGAGGAGAGGGAGTGGAGGGGGAGGACAGGGAGTGGAGGGGGAGGAGAGGGGAGGGGGGGGGAGGAGGAGTGGTTTGTCATTCACCGTTGTTTGCAACTTCTACTTCGAAATTTTCTTTTCCTGAAAGCAAGAGTGAATCCACCACCAATTCCTCCTCCTACCCATCCCGACTGCCTACCACCTCCCTCCCCCTCCCTGCTTTCTTCTTCGCTCACCTAAAGTTTTCTGAAGCATCGCAATCACAACTTTCTGGTTGACAACTTGATCCTGGCGAGAGGTCAGAATGACGAGGGAGGAGGACAGGAAGGAGCAAGAGAGGAAGCGAGGGGGACCATGGGGCATGGGCAAGAAGGAAGAAGAAACGAGCAGGAGGCGTGAGAATCGATGAAGCAGCAGGGGGCAAGGAGGAGATGCCAGGAGGGGGCTGAGAACAAGGAGCATCAACAACCTCCACGATGAGGATTCGCATCTTGGAGATGGGCTGAGCATTGTTTGTCGCCGAGAGCGAGTTGTTGGACTCCTTCGTCGCATCCTTCCCCCCGTTTATTTCCTGCACTATGTGCTGGGAGTACATCAGCACGCCAGGAGGGAGGAGGGCAACACAGTCACCAGGAGTTTCGAGTACAAGGCAGACATCTTGACTGGGCGCAGAACGAGCTTGTGCAGATCGCAGGATACCTGTGAGTGCGAGAGATCAGCGATACTCCCTTCCCTTGCCCCTAACGCCTCCTTCCCCTCCTTTCCCCCCACGCCCCTCTTGCTCCTCCTCCTCCATCCCCTATCCTTCCTCACCTTGTACTTGCCACCCCCCTGCTCGTCGAGATAACCAACGACGAGCAAGCTGTTGAGTTCATCCTTGCTCCAGCCATCCAGCAGCCCGTTCTGCAGCTGACTATCGATGATGAGCACCGAGGGCCTACCCTCCTTCGCCTCCTTCTCCTTCTTGTCCCTGAGCTCTGCCTTCAGTCGCTCCATCTGCTTCAGCGTCAAGTCCATGGCGGACGCCGCTGTGAAGATATCGTCGATATCCATCCCCCAGAATCTGAGCATCTCCTTCATCATCGTCTTCGTTGGACCCTCTGGCAGCACCAGTCGAACTTTTCCCCTGCTCACAGTCAGTCCGCAGCCCCTCCCCCTCCTCCTCATCCCTTCTCTCCCTCCTCCCACCTCCTCTCCTCTCCCCTCCGCGTCCCCAAAATCAAACTCACACCCTCCATCTCCATTGCACACCCTCCTCGCCTCCTCCCTTCTTCCACCTCCTCCCCTTTCCCTTCCTCCTCTCCTCTCTCCTTCACCAACCCCTGCCCCTCCCCGTCTCGCCTCACCTCAGCGAGTCCCTGGCCATGAACTTGGGGAACGTGAGCTCGAAGTCCCGTCCGGAACAGACAGGGAGGGGAACGACGATGCGGAAGGTCGTTCCCCTCCCGTCGGTGTTGCTGACGCACTCGATGGTCCCGCACATGGCGCTCACGATCCTCTTGGTGATGGCGAGCCCGAGGCCGGTGCCTCCGTTGTTGCTCATGTGCTTCGAGGGCAGCTGGGGAAGAGCAGGAGTCAGCGGGAGGAAGGGGAATGAGGGGAAGTGAGGAACAACTGAGAGGAAAGCGGATGGCCCGGAGAAGAGGACGGTGCAGTTGGTGCGGAGAGGATTGGAGAGGCATGGAGGAGGAAAAGAGCGAATAGAAGTCGAGGGGAGCGGAAGGGGGAAGGAGGGAAACGCCGGACAGGAAGTCAGGGGTAGGAGGCAGGGGGCACCTGCGAGAAGGGCTTGAAGAGCAGGTCCTGCTGCTCCAAGGGGATCCCCTCCCCGTTGTCCCAAACTTCAAGGCACACGAACGCCGAGTCCGCCGGGGCTTCTTCCTGCAGTCGGACCGACAGGATCACCTGCCCCCCTTCGTCTCTGCAGAATTTCACGGCGTTGTCGCAGAGGTTAATCAGGCACTGGCGCAGACGGAAGCTGTCCCCAAGCAAAAACGGGCAAGTTCCCAGCTTGCAGCTCAAGCACAGCTGGACAGCAAAGTCCACCTGCTTCCCGCTGACTCGAGCCGCCATGATATCGCTAAGCTCGTCGCTGAGCTCGCCGAGGTGGAAGGGCTTCTCGGTGAAGTCGATGGAGGAAGGAATCATCTCGTGCTTGCTCGACTGGCTCCCATCGTCCGACCCGTCCGCCTTCGCCTCCAGCTTCGCATACTCGAGCACCTGGTTGATAATGCCCAGGAGGGCCTCGGCTGAGGTGAGGGAGGAGCTCACGTACTCGCGGTGGATGGAGTTCAGGTCGTCGGCCTCGAGGAGGAGCGAGTTGAAGGCGACGACCGAGTTGAGGGGCGTGCGGAGCTCGTGGCTGATGTTGGCGATGAACTTGCGGGAGAGTCGGGCGGAGGTCTCTGCCTCTACACACGCCATCTGCAGCGCTCGGTTCATCACCTCAGTTCGCAGCACCGTCCTCTCCTTGCTGTCCTTCTCAGTCTCCATCTGCTGTAGCCTCAGCGTCGCCACCGTGTCGAGAATGCAGAAGTTCCCAGTCATGAGCGCGACTGTGTAGATGGCCTTGGCAAGAACGTCCACGAAGGTACGGCAGATGCTGAACTGAGTGTCGTCGAGAACGTGGAGGTGGTGGAGAATGTGGAGGGTAGGGAACGACAGCCACAGCAGGTACGTGTAGATCTGAAGGCCGCGCAGCGAAGTGATCTCGTAAGTAGTCGCGGCCTGCTTCACGTTCCGGTCGATGATCTGCCATATTCTGTAGTAGACGACCACGAAGCAGGAGGCGGCGCAGCAGAACACGGCCCATCCTATGAAGCAGGAGCCGATGATGTTGTGAGTAAGGCCCAGCACGAGCATCAGCTCGTCCCAGCAGATCGCGTTGATCACCAACGGCCAGTCAGGAACCAAGTTCTCCTCCATGGAAGTACCCAGGCTTGCAAGGACGAGGATCATGATGGGGGTCGTGCACATCCATTGCATGAAAAACTGGACGGCGATCGGCTCGCCTGTGGTGTCGTACATAGGGGTGAAAACGTCCAGGACGGTCGAGACGTACACGACAAAGGCAACCATGTTGATGAAGAGAGCTAGGCTGTTCAGCTGTCGCTTCTTTGCAGAGACCTGTATGGAAAGAGAGACGAAGATGAGCAACACGTCACAAGCCAACATCGTCGTTATCACCTGGAAAACCATCCCTGATATGTCCATGATGATGCAAACTCCGAAGATGAATGCTGCTAGCACCTGCAGCATCGCATGAGAACAAGAAAACATTCTGCAGTGTCAACGCACATTCACAAACTTCGATTTGTCCAACGTGACCTCGTCAGATTGTGCGGAAAATCCCATCTTGGGCTTGCAATATCCCGATAGCACCCAACTTCCATACACAAACCCAACGTATATGAAGCACCACACGATGAACAGAGCTACTCCAGGCATTTCTTTCTGGGCCTTCTTGATTCTTGTAGAAAAACTTCCTTTCTCGTCATTGGAGCCCTGGGTAACCGAGGATTAGACGGAATGTCAATTTCTCGATTTTCTATGCAAGCATGTTTACAAGACAAGAACCGACAAAAAGTATTGCACACAATCATCTGAGTAATACAATCATCATAGTAATACAAGCACATCAGTTTCCAAGGAAGCCTTCTGATTCAGGACACAAGGATTGTGAGAAAAGATCAAGCCTCACTAACTGACTTCAAACTAGCACTTACAGAGTCGCTGATGAACGACGAACTCTTTGTCTTAGTATGGAATGAGTTCTGCGACATTTTGTTGCGATAGGATGAAATCAATGGAGCCTGATTCAATGAATGTACCACAGGAATCAAAGTGCCATTCTGGAGAAAAGAAGATCGGTAAGAAACCAAGAACAACGATTCACAACACTGCAACGTGTTGTGAAGTTTCACCTCAGATGGCGACGCAATGTGCACTACTCGTGATTTGGCCACGCCATTCACAGACGGGAAATCCTATCGACAGGTGTCAACAACATTAAACGGCAACAACGGAGGTATTCCATGTTAGAGATCATCATCCCTGAGAAAAATTTCTACAAGAGACATGTAATTGCGTTCTTAGTCGGCACCCTCGCTGGCGAACGAATCGAACACACGCAATATCTGATTTCTTGCTCTTGCAACCTTCCCAAGTGTACGCATGTGCATCCATGCATCTAACCTTCTCCATATGTTCGATACTACAACATGTTGCAGCCAAAGAAGCTCAAACGCAACCACATCTGCGATAGGTTCCCCATCCTTTGCTTCGATCTGGTACATCGTCCATTGGCATAACCTCTGGTAACAAGACTGACTGATATGGAGGCACATCATTACATCTGTGTGAATATTATGAAGCTTTTGCCTATCCTCTTGCGACCCCTCCCACCTGCTGCAAACTTCACAACTCTACGGTCACGCTCTCATTGAGAGCCCCCTCCCTCGCAGTCCGCATGCCTCACTGCACACGCCTGCCTCTTCTTTCCAACCTCTGATGCCTGCTCTGAACCTTGATTATCCTCTGTTCTCATCAGCACAGCGGCTGTTCCTCTTCCTCTTCCTCTTTCTCCTCCTATCGCCGGCCCCACCGCTGCATTTCCATCCTCGTTCAGTTTTCAGTCAACTCTCTTGACCGCATGCCCCCTCAACCCATACACCCACCCCCATACCCTCGTATCTATTCGTCCCTTTCTCGAAGACCCCCCACCCCCTGGACTTCCACCCCATCGGAGATCACCCCCCAATTTTACCACTATTATCACCCATTCTCATCGAGATGTAACACCCACCCCCTCCTATAAATCTACAAAGCTTTTTTAACTAGCTAAAATACCCCACCCCCCCGGAACGAATCGAATCATGGCTAAAGGTAACGTGACGATTGGTAAAACTTTATAAAATGTTTTGCTGTCAGTAATAAAGGTACTTGGAGTTTGTACCACATCTGCTGATTTTTTAGGAATCGTTGTACTTGTTCCACCCGCCTACCACGAGATCAATAGCAATACAGATGAAGCTTCCCGTCGGTAGAACAACTTGGTACAAAAGAGTTTATAACTGTTTTTGTATGCGTATAAAAATCGGAAATTATATGAAACGGTACCAATGTGTTTTGGGGTAACAGTTCAAAATATTTGGATATATTCGGAATAGTTTGAAATTCCACCTAAATATTTGAAGGAGTTGGTTCCCTTTCGTTGTGGAGGGATATGACCCCCAACGACCCACGTGGAATCACCATCTTCAGCCGGCGGGGTGGTCATATCGTCAAGACAAGGAGGGGTAGTACAAACAGCAACAGTCGCCTAGGAAGGAAGGGTGGTGGGGTCAATAAATATCCTCGTGAGATCAAAATGTTTTATATTTTTTAAAAACAACATTCGAGCCCCCTGTTACCACGGTTTTATATATCTGGGGAAGTGGGGTACATCTATAGCCCTGGAGTGGGTAGAGGGGGTGAAGTAAAACAGTGTCTGACATGATTCTTGATTTTAAAATGAAAGGATCTGATTTTGGTTCAGGGGTGGGTTAATACCCCACCCTTCAATCGTAGCCACTGTGTCGAGAATCTTCTCGGGTAGCAGACACTATAAAATTGCCTTGTGGGGGTTTAAAAAACTATTTTGTAGAAGTCAGCAGATCACGTGATCACATAAAGCGGGTAGAACACATCAGTTCCAACATAGCCTACCATCGATATTCTCTATATCTCTTCCTAGTCTCAAACGCATATGCCCCTACCCACCTGCTCCTTGTCCCCCCCTGCACCACCGCGGTCATCATCACATGCCATGATGGCCGATCAGGGCGGTCACGGGTGACAGCCCGGCGACGAGCCTCCGAGCCTCATGAGTGCGGCCGGCCGGCCGGGGGCCGGGCGGGCCGGGCCCGGATCTCCGGTCGGAGCCGCCTCGGATGCCGCCCGGCCGCCCGGCCGGGCCGGGCGGCCCCCCCGCTTCGAGTCGGAGGCCCGGCCGGCGGCGGCCCGGCCCGGGCCCCCATCATGGCACTGGCAGTCACCGTTGAGTGATGACCGTGGATCATCGGATGGTCACGGGTCACAGTCCAGCACTGGCGGCAGTCACTGAGTGACTCCGCCGGGCGGCCCGGCCCGCCGCGCCGCCGCGGTGCCCGCCATCCGATCATGCGCATGGCAGGGCCCCGGCGGCCGGACCGCTCGGAGAAGCCGACTCCCGGGGCCCTCAGAACTGGCGGCCGAGCCTCAGTGAGGTTCAACGGTTGGCTGCCAGCCTGCGTGTCGGTGATCGCCCGGCGCCGGCCCGGCGACTCGCCGGGCCCTCAGGCCTCAGAGCCGTCACTGAGGCGAGTGTCGGAGTGCCGCCGGGCCGCCGTGCCGCGGCCACCGCGGCAGTGCGTGCCGGAGTGCCCGGGTGACTGGCAGTGCGCCGCCGGCAGCGGCTGCGGCGGCCGCGCCCCCCGGCCCGGCCCGCCGGGCCGCCCGGGGCCGCCGGTCACCGAACGGTGCCGCGCCAACTCAGTTGACATAGCTCACAGGTGACCGCACGGTTCCGAGTCCGGGCGGGCGGGGAGGGGTACGACTACTACTGATATGAAAGGGGAAGGAGGGGGTGGTGAACAGGTCCGAGAACGGATAATTCGTATTTTCAAGTGCTGGGTCCATACCGTGCGAGTTTTAGTTTAAAAAGATCTATCTTTCGGAAACTTTCTCTCAATATTCAAACATAACCGGAATATTTCAGTCTGTAACGCTTGCTTTTGAGGGGATGTTTTCAAATTCGGTAGTCATAACTAAAAGTTTGACAATGCCTGTATGCTGCCGCTTCCTTCCAAGTTCGGCCGCACTTGGTTCCTTTGTTGAGCTACAGCACTGAGCTAGCATGAGACCTCCTTGCTCCTGGAACTTCCTTCCTCCCTCCCTCCTCCTGTCTCTTTCTCTCTCGCCTCCACCCTGTCTCAGAGTCTCCCTGTTTGCCGTTTCCCTCTCCTACCAGGCCCTTCTTACATATGTGCTAAGTTTGTCATCCTTCCATCTTTACCTCCATCTGCTTCCATTCAAGTTCTGCTCCTTTTTGTTCCAGATCTTCCTTTCAATCCTGCATTTCTTGCTCCTTACCGTGCCTGATCTCGCTGCTTCCCCCAATTCCATTAACCTCTCGCACTCCTAGAAAGCTCATTTCTTATCATTTCCTTGGCAGGAATGACAATAGGAGAAACCATAGCGTCATGTCTTGCTCCTCGGATCTGCAGATGAGCTGAAGGATGGATAGGTTTCAATAGGTCTCAACGGCTGTGGTTTGACTACCAAGATCATGAGTAGACTGGGAGAGCTGCTGAGCACAATTTGATCTTTCAAAGTGTGAAGAATAGACTGTGACTGAGGCAGCATAAGAATGAGTGTGTACGAAGCTCCAGCTCCGTTGGTGATGTGTTCTCATGGGGGTTGATCTCTGGTTCACAACTTTTCCAGATGCTTGTTATGTACGGCAGCATTCCAAGATCGATGCAAGAGATACATCTTCAACCAGGACAGGCATGATGTTTCAAATGAAATATGCTGCGATCTGTTGTTTTCCTGTCCTATGAGCGTTTGATGATGAAGCTTCAATGAGAAGAGCTCGAAGGCTGGTTGTCATTCCAATTGATATCTGTTGGGATTCAGGTCATCCTTGTTCAAAGCGACGTCAAGGGCGGGTGGGCGTATGGGAGGATCGTTGCATCGGAGTACGAGACTTCCTTCGTCCGTGCACAGGGGTGAGCTTGTTGGGACACCCTGCCATTTCATCTTCAACTTCGTAATTTTGATATGCTCTCGCAGCTTTTTCCCTCTTGCTCATTGCAAAGCATTGGAACCCATTAAGGTCTGAGTTTGACAGTGCTGATAGAGTTGAGCGAGAGGCATCTTTGTGTTGGAGGCGTTTGTTTCTTGATCTGTTTGAAGGGAGCAATGGAACTTGTGGAGTGATTTGTTTTATGCAGGTCAGGAAGCCAACCAGTCAAGACCCAAGACAGGCAGGAGTCGGTCTTGCTGTGGCCTTTTCCCATGGAATCTACGGGAGGCTTCTGATATTCAGCGTGAAGAAAGGTCTGGGGAATCAAAAGTCTTGCAATGTGATGACGAGTCAGTTTGCAGGTTCAGCAGCAGACAGATCTTGTGTTATGAAGGTAGTTACTCGATCATGAGAGAAGGAGTCTGAGTGACCTCGAATAGGTTGGAGATGAGATCTTGGCTATTGATGGCCGTCCAGTACAGGTTTGTCCACTTTGAACCGTTATTGCGCTTGTTGTTTTCCATCATCCATGCATTGCATGAAGATGGAACAAATGTACCGTCTGACTCGTTTGTAGCGTCTAGATTACAGGGAGATCGCAAACATGATCCTTGGAGTGGAAGGTTCCATTCTAAGGATCAATGTCGTTGATTCCATCCTCAAGATGGAAAGGTTGACAATTTTCTTCCTCCTCCCTCCTCCTTCTCCTCTATCCTCCTTATCCTTCCCTGCTCTCTCCCTCCTCCTCCCTCCTCCCTCCTCCTTCTCCTCTATCCTCCTTATCCTTCCCTTCTCTCTCCCTCCTCCCTCCTCCCTCCTCCCTCCTCCCTCCTCCCTCCTCCCTCCTTCTTCTCCTCTAGCCAGAAATGTGATTTCCCTCTCTCCTTCCTCCTCCCTCCTCCCTCCTCCCTCCTCCCTCCTCCCTCCTCCTTCTCCTCTATCCTCCTTCGCCTTCCCTTCTCTCTCTCTCCTCCCTCCTTCCTCCTTCCTCCTCCCTCCTCCCTCCTCCCTTTTTCCTCCATACAGAACACAAACTTCGCATGCAACCAACCAATGTTTTCACAGAGAAATTGACCTCATCCGAGAGCCTCGTGGCGAGCAAGTTCTCTCTCCTCAACAGTTCAGCAGGATGAGGGAGCTCGTTGTTGACCAGCGGCAGGTTGTCAACCAGAGGCCTCAGGAGGGAGTCGTACAACAGTCAGCCCTGCAAGACGTCAGGACAAACCTGAAGCAGAATAATTTGCAACATGTCAAGGCAAGCTTGCCAGCTCCGAAAGAAAATCTGCAGGCAGTGCAGGTGGCAAAAGCTGAGGGTGAGCAGGAGTTCATCTTTGCTGATTTTGACGCTGCGGTGAGTTGTTTCCCTGTTTCTTCCTCGTGATATCTTCTACATCCTGAACCATGTGCTTATTCTCGTCCTCGTCTTTCTCTCTCTCATCCTCGTCCTCCTCCTCCATCCTCAACTTTCTCCTTCCTTGCCTTCTCCCTCCTTTCCTTACAGACTTCCATGCTTGGATCAGCGTCACTGACGTTTCTCAAAGGTTCAAGACATCCTGAACGGGAGGTTTCAGCAAGCAAGGGACAGGATCGCACAGCTGCAGAAGCAATCCAGCGCCCTTGGACTCTCCCAGTCGTCTATCGAGAAGCTTTCCTTCAGCGCAGCCATTCACAAGGCCATTCAAATGGAGAAGATTTACTCCTTGCAGAGGTCCCCGAACCCTCCAAAACCCACTTCTGCAGTCTTGAAGCTCAAAAATGCGATCTTAGAAGAAGCGAATGATAGGGCGCAGAATCAGCAGCAGCAGCAGAAGCAGCAGCAGCAGCAGCAGCAGCAGCAGCAAGGGAAGATCTTACAAGAGACTAGTTTCGATCACCGGAGCGTGGAACTTGAGACCCTTGCCCACCCTGCCCCGGGACCGGAGGCGGAGGACCTCGTCCAGAAAGTTGAGATGGCAGAGAAGGAAAGTCGAAGGTTGGAGATGGACTACCTCAACGCTGTAGAGGAGCTCACACTCGCAGAGAGAGCAATTCTGCAATCTCAGCAGGAGATTGAAAAGTTCCGATCGTCTCAGGTTGATGCGAACGGGCAAGGCACGCAAGTCGTGGAGGAGGAAGCTCCTACAGCACTTGAAAATGTGCAGAACAATGCGGAGGAGCAGGAAGAGAATGTGGAGGAGCAGGAGAAGAATCAGGTGCAGCAGGAGCGAGTGGCGGAGGTTAAGGTGAGCGCGACCACGGTCAAGGATATCAGTGATGAAGGCGCGAGCATGGTGAAGGATTGGTGCAACACGATCTTCGACGAGCAGGAGAGGAGGATGAACGTGCAACTCAACATGGATCTAGAGCAGCAGGACAAGGAGGTCAAAACCCCCAGGCTGGCTCGGGTCGTAACTTCGTTCACCTCCTCCGGCCCCAACCAGATCAATCTCAACGTCGGCGATCTCGTTGAGCTGAACTTCTCGAACCATGCCTGGGCCGTCGGCCGTGTGGTCTCCTCCTCCTCCAACCCATCTGCCTCGAGCAGGTTTGGCTGGTTCCCGTCCCAGTGTCTTGAGAAGACCGAGGGAGGAGGAAGGAGAGGAGAGGAGAGGATGGGTCGTTCAGAGAGGGACTCAGTACTTGAAGCTCGATCTCCTCCTCATCGTGCTCACACAGACTTGGACTTCATAGCGCAGGAGGCTGACACAGAAGCAGCAGAGCAGCGGCAAGTCCCCAGGAAGACGCCAGACGCGAGCACAGGGAAGCAGGAGCCCCTTTATGAGGCACCGCAAAGAGTCGAGGGAGGAGCAGGAGCAGGAGCAGGAGCAGGAGTGGAGGACCCCGAGGCAGGAGTGAAGGTGAGGCCTGTAGGGAAGAGGAAGACCTCTGCGACTCCAGCGGCGGAGCAGAATGTCTGGCTCAGTGCTGTTGACCTCGCCAAGTTTCAAGGGAAGACAGGAGGAACCCCATTGAAGCAGGTACCTCCTCCTCCTCCTTTCCTGTCCTCCTCCTCCTCCTCCTCCTCCTCCTCCTCCTCCTCCTTCTCCTCCTCCCTTCCCTCTCCTCCCTTCTTCCCTTTCCCATCTCTCCTCTCCTCTTGCTCCTGTTCCTCCTCCCTGGGCCTTTTCCTCCCTTTTCTCTCCTCCACTTTTACCTCCCCCTCCTTTGCTCTCCTCCCCCCAAAACCCTTCCCGTTTTCCTCTCCTTCCCATCTCTCCTCTCCTCTCACACTTCGTCAAGGACCTGGACAGCTCCGACGCCTCCTCCTCCGAATTCACGCAAGCGCAGTGGGCGCGTCAGCAGCTCCTTGCCAAGGCGCAGATGGAGCGGGAGAAGTACACAGCCTTCGATTCAGGAGCCGTCTCGAAGCAGGCGCAGTGGGCAAGGGAGCAGATTCTAACGCAGATGAAGGACGGGCAGGAGAAGGGAGCAGCAAAGAGCTCCTCTCCCCGTGCAGAGGACAGGCAAATGAAGTTCGATCCCTCCTCCGTCTCCCAACAGGCCAAGTGGGCGAAGGAGCAGCTGAACTTGCCTGAGTACAACGGGAAGTATGGGAAGGGCAGCAGGAAGGAGGGCGAGAACGGCAGCGTCGAGGTTCTGCCATCCTCCTCGCAGCTTCCTTCTTCTCCAGGGGATGATGAGGACAGGGAGGAACGACGCCGTCGTGCAGGTCTGGCACGCAGTTTCCTCACAATCCATGATGTGTTGTTCGTAGCGATCAAGAGGGCGTTGTTCCTGCAGGGATCCAAGGAGGCGGAGCAAGGGGGCAGTGGAGGAGGAAGCAAGCAGGAGTCAAACGCAGCAGGCGATATGGGCAAGATTTCTCAATACGCTGTTGAGAAGGATGGGGAGCAGAAAGGACAAGCAGGCTCAGCAGATCTCCCAAACTATCTCATCCTCAACAACTTCGAACCACATGTGATGTCACTTTGACGTCTCTCTGTATCAGCTCCGTTGCTCAACGTTCCTTGGCAGATGTCGCCTTCAGTCAACATCTACGCACCTTACCTCATTGGACATCAGGCAAACTACTCTTACAACCAACAGCCCGTCCAACACCAACAGGTTCGACTCGTCTCTAACAGCAGTCCCAACCATCTCTACAACTATGACTTCACTTACCTCTGTCTCCTCCATTTCATGGCTTCCCCTCATGACTTCTCCCCAGCTGCTCAGCCCTCGAGTGGTCGTCAGTCCTTCACAGCTCGCTCCCGGAGTCTTCCGAACTTCCTCCTCCTCCTCCCCTCGAATCTCCGGTATCGTACCCGGCCAAGAACAGCAGCAGCTGCCGCTGGCGTATCATACCTTCTCAGGCATCACACACACGTCTCAAGTAAGTCAGCTGTTGCGTCTGCTTCGTTGGAAAACATCAGTTTTCCTCCTTGGTTTCACCGCTGTCCCTTCCTCCCCCTCTCTCCTTCTCTCCTTCCATCTCTCGCCCTCTCTCGCCCTCTTCCTCCTCCTCCTCCTCGTCCTCCTCCCCCTCCCTTCCCCCCCCCCCCTCTCTCCTCTCCTTCCATCTCTCGCCCTCTCTCGCCCTCCTCCCTCCTCCTCCCTGCTCCTTGACTTCCTACTCTCCACTCCTTCTCCCTCTTCCTCTCTCTTCTCTGTTTTCTCCTCCTCCTATCGCTACTCTGCTCTGCTCTGCTCCTCTTTGACTTCCTGGCAGCTCAACACTTCTGAGCAAAGGAGCGCGGTACCGCAGATCCCTCCACAGTATCTGCGCTTCTGAACGCTGGGACAGACAAAGTTTGTCTTGACAATATTGAGAATGAAATGGAACGCAACGAGATGAGGAGACATGCGGGTCAAAGTGACTATCGTCTCTCCTGAGCTTTCTTACGTGCCGCGTTGTCCTTTCAGAATGTGCATGTCAGAGGCGGGGGGGAGGGGGCAGGAGGGAGACAAGTAGATTGAGAGGAGCAGGAGAAGAGCGATAGAGGAGCATTGAATTAGCTGTGTGGTTGGACGAAAGTTTGATCGATTCTGGGGGGCAGGGCAAGGTGAACGGAGGGAGCCGAGAGAAAGGAGGGAAGGAGGGAGGGAAGGAGGGAGGGAAGGATTGAGGGAGTCATGTTCATTTGCACAGTCTGAGCTCAATGTTTGTTGAAACCTTCTGTCTGCAGAATGACTTAAAGCATGGAAAGGAGAACGTTCAACAGGCTAGCGACTTGTACAACAAACCAACAAGCACTTTACACTTAGAATACTTTTCTGCGGAACATCTGTACAAAGAAAATTGTAATCATCTAACTCGCAAGTCCATCATCGCGATGATTTTCATCCAACGCAATCATCTCCTGATGAACACAACATCGGCTTCTTCGTCTTCAGCGCTGATTTCTTCTAACGGGAACGAGAGGTACCAGGCAAGCCACTCAGAATCAAATTTTGCTGCAGTCTCGTCGCCCTGCTCTATCAACACTCTACTAAGAGCCTGAAGGGTCAGTGGTGACTCCTACACCCCAGTCAGCTCTTTGTCGACATCAGCAAGAGAACATCTCACCACAGATTTCATAGCCTCTTGATGCTTCAGGAGCAAGCTTGCTGAGAGAGCCATAGCTTGTCTTGACATGGCCATAGCGTTCTTGAGTGAGGCAAGGGCCAAATATCACAAGAAATGGAGGAAACAGGGATGGGTTTGACGGGACGGAAAGAGGAAACGGAGCTTACGGAAGGGGCAACGGCGAGCGCAAGGAAGGAAGGCGGGGCGGGGGGGGGGG